TCGCTCGAAAGAATTCTCCCTCGTATGCTCGTTGGCGTTATTTGCTGGCGTTATTATTTGCTGCAAAGTTTCTGTCTGTCTTGCAGCGGCGCAAATTTGCACATTTTAGACAGCAACAAAAGCTCTCCCCTCCACGCCGCTTCGTTCCATGGCAACAAAGTCATCGTGAAGCTGCTCCTCGACAACGGAGCTAACCCTAATCTTCAAGTGAGTATATTTGTGGCAAAATATTACTTTCGCCATTCATTGTGCAAAAGAATATGGAAGAATTACAGGGTTTTATATTTGAATGGTTGATCGCAGGATGACAAATTACGTGAATCACGAGTGCGCAATTGAGTCGGAAAAAATTAAATCAATGTTAAAGTTGATGGTAAATATCACGACGATAAGGATTCTTGCCAGAGAAAACTACATAGTTATAGTTTATCAGAACTTCAAATATAAAAATAAGCTCAATCTTTATAAAAATAACGTATTAATTACACAGGACCAGCGAGGTAACACTCCTCTGCACTCGGCCGTGTCAGGAAGCCATGCTGAGATCATTAATATTCTGCTAGACAACGGCGCTGACACGTCCATACCCAACCACGAGAACATGGTCTTCAAGCACATCGTAAGATCAGCAACAGATTTCAACATCTGCGAAGAAAATTCGTCAATAGTGCAATACTTATTGAACGCGATACAATTCATGTGAATCGAAAAGAAATACCATAATGGGGAATGTTGGGAGAAACAATTGGGTTATTGTAGTTTACTTGGATTCAAAATCAGAGACGTCAAACATATCTCATCTCTTCAGTAATTCGTTTGGGAGAGAAACCTTCATGTTTGTTTTGTGACTTAAAAACGTCTTAGAGCAGACTTACGTTTAATTTTCAATAAGAATAAGAATAAGTAGATGAATCTGGAGCAATTCACTTAAATTGTCTTTTTATTTCGCACGGTATCAAATTTTTTGTCAAACTGGCCACTGTTTCAACGTTTTCACAGCATATATAAGTGTCAGCAGTACTAAATATTTCAATCAATTAAATATTCGTATGCACTGTGTACGAACAAATTCAAGAGCCTGGATCTCTGAGGGTATACTCTGTACTGCAGGTAAAAGACGTGTTGGTGAAGACCGTGCACGAGGGCAAGGTGGCCCAGGTGACAGCCTTGTTGAAGAGCAACGCTGATCCTGACACACGCGACGCATTCGGCACCCCACTTATTTGTGTCGCTGCCTTTAACGTGAGTTTCTGATGCAATGAAGTTCCAAAGTTTGACGATAAATGAAAAATAATCAGTACCATGCAGCACTGTTCATCAACAGACACTGATCAAGCAGTAAGAGAGTACCTAAATATGAAGCGAACAGTACCACTCTTCAGCAAGTCACTGTTACAACAGTGAATTTCCCAGTAAGGCGGCATATATAAAATGAATTGTAACGCGGTTAATGAACAGTCACTGTTTTCACAGTAAGACGGCAGATGTGAAATGAAGAGTCCCACACTTATAGTCCGACTCTAGCTGGTCTAGCTGGAACTCTAGTCGACTCCAGCTGGTCGATAATCGGCCTTCTGAAAACACTCAAACAATTGATGTTTGAAACAATCATAGACACACGAGAAAATACTGGTAGAGTTTGATGACGGAAGCTTCTCTTTGTAAAAATGAACTTTGAACATTTATATATGAAAATATTCATAAATGTACGGTGTGAAATTAATTGCGAATGTAAGCGATGCCTTGAACACGATACGAGTTAAAACTCCAGTTGTTTGCACCTGAATCGTAACGATACCTCAATGCACAATTTACAGCTCACATTTGCTAAAAGCATAATTCAATGATTCTTTTCTGTTTCTTCAGAAAGATTTACTGATCGTGGATGCCCTCCTGGAAGCCGGGGCTAACCCGGACCTCTGCTCCACAGACTCACAGAAAACGGCCCTACACTACGCAGCCTTTTGGGAAGACCTCTTTATTACCAAGTCTCTTTTGGACAAGAAAGCTAAAATAAATCCTGTGGTGAGTTTGCTAAGAAATTTTGAGTTAGTATACATACCATTCTTTGAATATTGGTTTGAGTTCTCTAATTAAATTGCTGTCTTTTATACAGTAAAAATTGGTTAATGCTGAATATTATAAATTTCCGAATTTCGAACGTTACCACGCTATTTTGAAGTCTTACTGGTAGACGTTAGCTGATCTCTTTTCATTCTTTGATAGTTACGTTTTCCTGTGAACCTTTTTCATCAACCCGTCAACCCTGTTTTCATGGCAAATTTGACAACATTCAGTCTACTACATCATAGGGGATATCATCTTAGCAACATACGCAATTATCAGATACCAGATAGTCCCAAAGATTACTGATAAGTGGGCTCGTGCGCAGGATAGGTTGGGCAACACCCCGCTGCACGAGGCTGCTCGGGAAGGCCACGTCGACCTGATCACGATGCTCACGGGACGCATGGCGCCTCTCAACGGCCTCAACCTCGAGGGCAACACCCCTCTACATGTCGCAGCCAAAGCAGGGCAAACCACCGTCGTCGAGATGCTGCTCGAAAAAGGCGCAAATGAAAGCATTCTTAACAAAAACGGACAACTCTATTCAGACCTGGTACGCTAAGTATTGTGCGGCTGGTAATTGTGCTAGCCGTAGTGTTAATAGTAGTGTAATGTTAATAAGTTCTCTTGGTTTTAAAATGGATTTTGTAGGGATTCGAGTTCAGTCACGATTTCCGGCGAATTTGGTTAATGTGAGGAAATGTCAACCGGCCAAGAAGCTCTATAAATGTTCACTACTTGCAGGCTTTAATCAACGCCGTTCGGACTGAGGCGCCAGATAGAGTGATGTCGGGGTTAGCCTGGGGCGGCAATCCCAACTCCAAAGATCAGAAAGGCTGGACGCTCCTCCACCACGCCGTATTCAAGGCATGTTCTTGAGCAAGATATTTTTTCGTACAATTTATATTAGCGTTTTCATGACCTCTCAGAATTAAATGTACCAGATTGCTTCTGGTGCCAAAATTGAGGTATCATTGTCCAATGCTGAACCTGCGAAACAAGTGTAAATTTTTTTCGTTTCAACTTTGTCGTTATCTCTAAATTCTTAGTATAATTTTATCAATAGATAATCTTATTAAATTTTTAAATTATCTTTTTTCACTTAACTGTTTTTTAATGTTTTTATTTTTGATGAAATTACGTTTAATTTCAATGATGAACAATTCTCAGTCGCTTGTGTGCCCATATCACTTCCATGTAACTTCATCTGACGATAGGACATATTTTGAGATTTTGGTATTTAATCTCAGTATTGTCTGGTTTATGAGATGATATTTGGGCATCACACAGGGATCGTTGGATATTTAATCTCAATATTGTCTAGTTAATGAGATGATATTTGGGCATCACACAGGGATCGTTGGATATTTAATCTCAATATTGTCCAGTTAATGAGATGATATTTGGGCATCCAACAGGGATCGTTAGAAATAACAGCAATGCTGCTGGAGTGCGGGGCTGAGGTGGACGCCACAGACATCCACGGCAGAACTCCCCTCATCCTCGCTGCGTATAGAGGCAACTGCTCGGTCAGTGCCAGCCAATAGCTTCCTGGGAAATGCGTGCTCCTAGGTTACTATGTGCGTTCAAATTTCTATTTCTGATATGCGTGTTCTGATCAGAATTTATTATTTACAGCGATATTCGCCTTATTGTTCGATTATCAGACGAAACATGCAAATTTGGTTCGCTAAAAAATCTTTTTAAACATCAAGGCGTTTAAAAAAAACATCAAATTGGAGGCAATGAAGATTCTTAAGGCAACTGAAATATAAAGTATATTTTCATTATGTAATCAAATTTACGAGATATCATTGTTTCGTTGAGCCAAATTTCCGCTGATGCAGATAGCTTCAAAGTTAGTGGAGGCGGGTGCCAACTTGGAGTGCCAGGACTGTGAGGGCCAGACAGCACTGCACTGGGCGGCGCGAGAGGGCAGCGTGGAGACTGTGCTCTTCCTCATCGATAAGGGCGCTGATACCGCCATTAAAGATAAAAAAGATAGATTCTACAAACACTGGGTGATTACAACTGGAGAACAATATGATTTTCATCAAAGCGTGCTTTATATTCTGTTGAACATTTTTTGGAGTTGAAAGTTTGTACGCACTTCAAATGAAAAATTTGTTCATGTCTACATACATCTGCCTGGAGATGAATTGTGTACACGTACTTGATGAAAACTCTACATACTAGCCTCGTACACTGTGCGCAACAAAAAATTTTGAGTGAGTAAATGTGGTCTATTTTCTTTCTGTAATGAAAGTCGTAAAGCATCAAATCTAAAGTTACCCTATCGGCAAAAACTGGAAAAATCTTTCATACTCATCTCAATTATATTTATGCCTCAATCGGGTGCAAACGGTATGCACAGCAGTAATGTTGAGTGGCAATTTTTCTGTATATAATTGAATTTTCTGCAGTTGGTGAAGCACTTGTACCTGGCAGTCCGCCACAACGACACGGCTAAGGTAGAAGCGTTCCTCACCGCCGGAGCTGACCAGTTCGCAAAGGTTGAAGGAACTGACGTGACATCCCGCGAAGAAGCCAAGAGGAGAAAAAGTTACCCCATACTTAAGCTAATGGCAGCGCATTCGCAGCTCAGAAACACCTTTGAAGAGGAGTTCGATTTCTGGGACCTACCCGCAATCGAAGATTTACGTGTGCTGTTCAAGGTAGCGTAGTTATTGTAAAAATGTCGCACGTGATCTTTGATAAGAATGAAATGCATTAAAAAGTCCATAACTAAGACTAAGAGCTCATTTAAAAATTCGGTAACCTCACCTTTTTATTCCGTTTTCTATGAGTAGAGCAAGTGCCATATTAAACTTGTTCTTAAATGGTCCACACATAATTCACCTAGTCTCAAGTATTTTGATGCATTTCTCTGCAGACTCCACTCTTAGGAAAATGTTGCTGAATAACATCTCAATTCAGTGGGCTTCTGGAGCTTGAGCTTAACAAGTGGTCGATGTCTGGAGCAAAACACAACTTTTCTTACACACTAACTAACTGAATGGCAATAGTGCAATACTCTGCTTGCAAAGATTAGTTGATTCCATGAGCCTCTAAGGCTTTTCAAATGATTGTCAACTGTTTTTAGAAATGAAACCTATCGCCGCACTGAAAATTCATCTGCATCACCGCTTTTAAAATCTAAGGTACGAACACGAGTTATGTGGGTTACCCATAACAGCTTCTAAGTGACACTCGACTCTTTGTTAACCCATTCGCTCCTCTGCTTAATTTTGTATTGACATTGATATCAGTCTCCGAATAAGACCAAAGACTGAAATCATGACCTGATTGTTATCATGCATGTTATTTTCTCCGTCATTTACACGGTTATGCTACCATCATCCAGTTTTATTAACCAGCATTTGTGCGCTAAAAAATTAAGTAAAACTTTATTAAAATACATTTAAATAAACGAAATAAATGTATGTATAAGATATTTAACCTAGAACCAATGTATTCCTTGCCTTTTCAACGATAATATTATTTATATACATCTCTACATTCAATTTCTTTCGTTTGGAGTTTGAAGATGGAATTTTTATTTTTCGACATTATCGTTATTTATTGGAAAATATACGTGTTACGTTATACAATATCTTCGTGTTCAAAATTAAAAAAATACTTCAGTGCCAACAGTTGCCTTTTTGAAAACTTTAATTAATCATTACCTTTTAGATAGACTTAATATTTCATATGTTCGTTTAGGGAGAAGAGTCAAGCGATGAAGATTCCGAAGACGAAGCAGATTGGAAGATGAAAAATGCAGACGTCGTTTTAAGTGCCAAAGAATTGTTCGCTCAAGATAATCAAGATCTTTGGGAGGTCTGGGACGAAAAGCCAAAGTGGATAACAGCAAAAGAATTGAACCAGGAAGAAGTTGAAGATTTCTGGCATAGCTGGGAAGAAACTTCTCAAAGACCCAGACAAAGATCGAGAAGCCCTCCTCCCCCAATAAGGTGAGTTGTTCAAAAAGATTATTCTAGTCATACAGTGCTCGCATGGACACTAGAAATCAAACAACGACTATCAGCAATTTCAAAAATGTATAATTTACCGATAAAAGATTAAATGCCAGTCATTTACGTCCTGTATTTTAATCTGAAAGGTCACAAGAAGACGATGACTCTGAAGCTGAAACCGATGAGTCGGAGGACGAAGCGAGTGCACTCACTCTACCTGACGATGGCTGTCACCTAAGAGGCGAAGGTAAATTTTACTCATCTATTCCTGCAAAAGAAGCTTTCAAGGAAGACGATAGTTGGTTGGACGAGTTTGACGACTCAAAATATACCATTTCAAAAGCAATATCTGCCAAAGATGCATTTAAAGAAGATGACTCGTGGTTAAATAGCGACGATGAATCTGAATCACAGGCACCTCATGATGACGTACCAGTCAGAGAAATATCTAAAAATAGTTCATGGTCCATGAATGATATCAACTTGGAAGGTGATTATGAGGAACAAAACGACCTTCATTCAAGCAGCAGTAATGTAGTTGAATATCAAGAAGGCGTTGTAAATGCAAGTTTGTTTATGAAAAGAGATAGTAGTGAATTGAACCAATCACGAGCAATTTCAGCAAAAGAAGCATTCAAGGAAGATGATTCTTGGTTGAATAGTGATGATGAAACTGAGTACAGCCATGCCAGAGCCATTCCGGCAAGTGAAGCCTTTAAAGAGGATGATTCGTGGTTGAATAGTGACGATGAAACTGAGTTTAGCCATGCCAGAGCCATTCCGGCAAGTGAAGCTTTTAAAGAGGATGATTCGTGGTTGAATAGCGACGAAGAATCAGACTTTCAACCATCTGAAGCCATCCCATCTAAAGAAGTTAAACAGGATGGCTCATGCCCGAACAGTGTTGCTGAATCGAAGTTCAGTTCAACAGCAGCCATTTCAGTTAAAGAAGCTTTTAAAGAAGATGATTCGTGGTTGGAAATGGAAGGTTCTGAGAGTGATGAATCAAAGGGCGCTGAAGAAAGCGAAGAGGACAATAGTGCACAAGAAGAAGGAGTCACTGAAAAGAAACAAGATCAAACTTTAGGGCTGGAAGACGAAGATGATTCCGGCTATAGTTCAGTGAAAATTCTCATGCATAACGAACATTCGGCCCCTATAAGTTTGTCCGAAAAAGAAAACATTGGCGAATGCTCCTCTTTCCATAATATTGCAAGCGATGGTCAAAATATTGATGCTAAAAAGAAAAGCTATCGCTCGACGGAACAAGACAATGGAAATCGAAACGAATGCAGAATAATCGACGAGGTAAGTACTTTGAGTAGGAATATTTTTGAGGACAGTGTATTGCATATTGACAACAGCCAAGGAGGAAAGAACGTGTCTGGAAGTAATTCTGAAAAATCTTTAACAAACACAGACTTGAAGCTTGATACTCTCGAGGGAACTTGTGGTCAATGCCGAGCAATAAATTTCTCTCTAACACAAACCAGGGATGGGAAAGGAGATGGTTCTGATAAGGAACTTGAAAAATTCAAATCTTTTAAAGACACAGAATTTTTAAACCAGGGTCACGATCAGATACGACCCACTGAAAAGAAAGAACGTTCCGATAGTGACAAAAATACTGACGGCCTTACTGTTTCAGTGGATGAAAATTCTGTTGGGGACGAAATTCATACCGTAGGAGACATTTCACAGTCAACGATGCCTTCAATCGTAGGTTCGAGTTTAGAAAAATTAGGCGAGCCAGATAGAATGGCAGCAATGCCTGTGGAGTTGTTCTCCAAATGCATCGACTTTAAATTTGCCACAAATTTTACTGGAGAGAAAGAAGTCACCACGGACTCAATGAACTCCATTATGCTGAGTGCGAATAGTTTATTTCCATCAGGCTCTCAATTGTCAATTCATCCTGACAATACCCGTTGCAACCATACATTGACCTCCCACGTATTAGACAATGGATTTTTAGCAGATTTAGCTAAGGGGCTATCGATGGATGATATTGATCCGAATCCTTCAAGTTCTTTTTCAAGGAATTGTGATGACGAGTCATCAGCCCTGTACAGGATGTCGTCTACCACACACAAAGCACAGAGTTTGACATTGATCACTTCTTCGGAAAATCGTCTCCCAATTTTGAGTTCAGACTGTAGCTCAAATGTCAGTGTTAGTAACCGGCCTCCAAATTCGGTGGCATTCAGAAAAGGGGGTTTTGGTTCATTTATGTTTAGTGAAATGATGACAAAAGACGAGAATGACCACAAACTGTTAGAACGGACTAAAGGTTCAACAGATTCCGAGTCATGTTCAAAAGTATGCCTCGTTTTAGAGCCTGAGGTTGTTCAACGAGTCCTCGTCAGAGTACCTGAGCCATGTGACAGTTCACTAGAAGGATCAGATGGTGGCAAGTCACATGTTGAAGCATGTAAAGGTATGCTGCATGAAGACGATCCTCGGGTGAACGAGTTATTCGATGAAATTTTGAAGAATTTTGGGGATTTATGTCCTGATGAGAGCAGAGAAAAGTACGGCATTTTTGGTTTTGAGCCAGGAACACATTGCCACTCTTCTACATTGCATGAGCACCTCTTGATAGCGGATGTTTCTTCCCCTGCAGATTCATCTGCCACCAACATGAACAAAATTTCCAACGCGGGTCCAGCTTCTAAAATCACACCTTTAGTGGACTTGACCGATGAGCAGCCGGGCAATCCTCAGAACATCTATGAGAATACCAAGATTGCTGAGATTGGCAATCAGGAAAAAAATGAAGAAGCACACCAGGGTGCCCTAAAATTTATATCCACGCCCCAATATCAAATTGCAGTTAATTCTGAAGTGGTCAATGGGGCTTCAGCTCATTCAAACACCCTCGAAACCGCAACATACTCAATACCATCCAAACAAATCGTATTGCGAGATGACTTTGATTCAATTCAACGTTTGCGCAATGCCTCTCCGGAACAAAAAAATGAATCACAATTAGAGAAACCCGATTTTGCGAACCGGTTTGTCTTCAAGTTACTATCATCGATGGACAAAGAAGCACCTCAACCGAGCCTACCTGAGGCTCATGTACCTTCACTCAGCTCAGAATTCGGCAACGAAGTTACGGGAGACGAGAGAGAACGAACTGAGCAAGATTCAAGGGATGGAGTAAATTTTCTTAATCGTGCACATAGCGCTCATGAACCTATGAAAACTGACGTTGAAAAATTTCCCTTAACTAATATGAATAACGTAGATTCTTGTGAAGAGAAGTATCAAAGAGCCTTGCAGGAAACAAAGGAAAAGGACAAATACGTCTCGGACAAGACGAGTCTGAATACTGGTTTAGATTCCATACCGTCACAAATGGTTGAACAAAAAGAAATAGAACACCACGATTATGAATCGACTTCTACGTTGTTACAGGGATTGAGTATAGAAGACGAAATTCCACGAGTTTGCGATCCAGTACAAAGTTTCAAACTTGAACATTACCACGTTGAAACTGCGGTTGACTTTCCACTGCTGGAGCAGCCACAAGAAGCGAAGCTCAATAATGAGGTCCAAACCTCTAACGAAAGCCACGACTCCTTTTTGACGTCGTTCGTGTCGTTTTGTGTGATTGTTCTGTTTCTCACAAGTTATTTCATCTTTAAATGGTTTTCGTGAATGCTGATTTGCATCGCTTGATGATAATAAAAATTATTCCGTGGAATTAGTGTCGAGAAATAGTGATGTGTCGTCGATATTTCAAGTTATCCCGAATATAATGAAATGATATTTTTAGACCGTGTTGTTATTTTACCTCGAAGCAATTACTTTTTTTAAACCATCAATAGCCATATAGGTAGTATTTGTCTTAGTCCGCAAATAAATAGTATACATATTCTATAGCTTTCGATAGAAATACAGTTTAAAAAAAAAAATTTTTCCGTTTTTATATGGAGAGAATTCATATAACGATTGCAATAATAAAAGACCAACTTACATTAGATGTAATCAAATGTTTAATTTGTATAGAACCGAATTGTATAAATCAAAATTTATAATATTAAAGTTCAGTGAATAAGCTTAGGAATTCTAAATTTGAGGGGCAGTAATCACGTCGTTGTTAGGTAGCAGCACCTTTCACGAATTAATGTATGGTTGACATTATATCAATAATATGAATTGAAATCTTCATGTCGGGAAAATGGATGTGGTAGAAATGCTCTTAACTTGGTGAATGAACCTGCTTGTCAATTGCATGCATACAGATTATAAGTAAAAGGTTCAGGTCCTTCGATCTGATCAGAAATAAATATTTTCTCAGCGACAAAAACTTCTCGTATTATAATTAAAAGATGTCGGTCGTTTAATCAGTGATACAAGTATTCTCTCAGCGACAAAAAACTTCTCGTAATTAGAAATGTACTCGAAATAATGGCAATAATGATTTTTGTTATTATTGAGCTTCTTGATGTTCTTTGCTTGCTTGCACCGTGCAGATGACAGCGCCCAGTAAGTGCCACCCCGCAGAGCTTTGTAGTGCACTAAGCGTATAGACCTGTAAAGCAGCGCTAACGAGCAGCAATGCAGTCTGCATTATAATAAACTTTTTTAGTGCACAAGAGCCTGGCTTGCAGTGGTGAAAACGATCTTTTCCTGCGAATATTGTGGTAAATGTGTGATGATAGCATCCGTGGACCGAAAGCTCACAGCATGCATGAAAATAGAAGATCGCATAACCAGACGATTTTTACTTTTCATTGCTGCGAGCCGTCACAATAAATTGACCAGGTAAAGATACAATTATACGCGAGAAATCTACATTTATTGAAACCCTAAACAAAGGGCAACAATGATAATTCTAGGTTTAAAGGGCAAGTCTTATGAGGAAAGATTAGAGTTTATGAAACTTCAGAGACTCTGTTTTCGACGTCTGCGTGGTAATCTCAATTTATTAAACAAGTATATACTCATGGCTTATACAAAGTCCCTTACTACAGAATTTTAAACAAGAATCAGAACCAGGGGCCACGCTTTCAAACTAAAAAAACTGCGGTGAAACTCACCCATGTGATATAATTTTTTCTCGATGCGAGTGAAAAAGCCTCCCTGATTACATCGTTGACGCTCCGAATATCAGCGCGTTCATGAACAGACTAGCCAAAGCTATGCAGAAGCATATGTCTAGACTCTAAGTGCTTAGCACCTTATGGAATTGGTAATAAGTCAAGTAACTACTTCAAACCAACGTCAGTTTTGGAAAAATCTGGTCAAAAGGCCAGTTCTTAGATCTCTTCTGAACAAGTTACGAAAAGTACAAGGATAGACAACTGGTAATGGGCCTTTTCTTCAGCGCCGGTACATTTATTCTATTCTATAACAATCTATGCCTATATCAGAAGACACGCACAATTGGGGCAATGGATGGGTGCCTAGAGTCAGAGCTCGAGCGGTCCTAAGGAAGAAAACCAAAATTTTTAATATTACCTACGATCAAATTCGGCTTTAACACGTTAAGTGCGGCACGAACCACCGGTGAGTTGCAGGGTTTTTTTTCCGGACAAGATCCGCAATTTAGGTTTTTTTCAATTGCGTATTTCGACAAAAATTTATGATGGCAGCATTACTTCATTAAATTTTAAATTGTACGGAAAAAGGGTATATGTAATTTTAGCACCAGAACCTACAAATTTACTGGTATATTTTGAGTTATAGGCCTTTTTATCCGGGAACTTGGCCGTTTTTATGCCATCTGCTAGCGCTGGTGGGTCGTGACACACTTAACGTCAATGACACAGATGACGAAAAATATATCATATAGATCAACTGACAGAATATATGGGCATGAATAGGAATGAAATCTCGTCTCAGTACGCCGGGCCTCAACGAACAATGTCGGTTTAGATTTAACGTCTTACGTATTGCTGTAAAGTCTTTGACTGTGCGTGGGTCTAACGCAAAAAGCATTACTGAAGCTGCAAAGGAGTCCGTTGCATCATGTTCACCTGTAAGTAAACGGAATCATTTATAATAAGTCTATCCATCAATTTTTTTACTAATGTATATATCAGATTCAATTTCAAAATTTTGCCACCTAAGGGTACGTACACAGTGACAGCAGGTTGCCAGCGTGCTGGTTACCTGCTGAGGCTGGCGCCTGAAACAAGCGCGAGAGGTTCACAGAGGAAGCAGGAAACCAGCTGCGACCTAATCAGTACTCTGGGTGAGGAAGTGTATTATTAGTGTATTTATTATTGTACTCTATTAGTGAACTTAATTGGTGTACTTTATAAGTGTATTTTGTTAGTATATTTTATTAGTGTATTTTACTAGTGTATTTTGTTGGTGTATTTTATTAGTGTACTTTATTAGCGTATTTTATTGGTGTATTTTTATTAGTGTATTTTATTAGTGTATCCATGTTTTCACAATAGGCTCATCTGAGGTACGAAATAATTCATAAGAAACAAATAAAGTGGAGGGTTCAAAGGTACAACTAATTCAAAAAATCACCATATGCCAAGCAGGTTGAGCAGATAAGAATGTGCAGTACATTCCGGTAAATAGGTATGAGCAGGTTGTCGGCAGAAGCCTATTCGTACAGGTTTTCACTGCGAACACTTACATTATTATCCTATGTTTATTCTTGTGGCAGGTTGGAGCAGGTAGCCCGCGCGGGCAAACCTGCTTTCACTGTGTACGTACCCTTAGGATGAAACCTGCTTCTCTCCGCCTTCAGTTACTAGATGCAACAGCCGCTGTCTGATTTTTATTGCATTATATGAGATTCCTACTATATTCTTTAAAGGTTATAGTCAGATGTGGTTCTAAAGATCTCAGAGAACCGAGCAGGACTCCGGAATCTACGTGTAGGACTCCAGAGGCCGTGAACCTCGGAGGACTCCTGTACGTGCGCAGCAGCTAGGAAGAAGGTTCCTTTGGAATAGGATTGCCTAATACGAGTATGATGACTGTGGTTCTGTGTGTTTGGTAGTCAGCGAGTAGTGTTATTATAAAAGAATGGTTGAGTTCAAGGTTGATGACTTGTATGTGAGGCTGGTGTGTCATACATAGCTGAAACGTTTTGGTTATGTCACAGACGTATGTAGCCTGTTGCGCGGCTCTGATAGTTCTTTTTCACTGTTGTATTTTGATCATTTTATTTAAGCATAAATTATTCGTCTATAATTCAATTCGTATCTGGCAACCTGGCACCTAGATTAGCTTCCGTTAGTAGGCAAAGGGTGTTGATAACAATTGGAAAAGGAATTAAATGTATAATTGTTTTCGAGTCAATCAAAGTTGTGATTATCTAAAACTGAAACGTATTGAACTCATGTTCATTCTGAATGTAAAATGTATTATCTCATTTAATATTAATAAGAAATTTCATCGCAAGCCTTCTTGTATGAACTTTATGCGAAAGATTCATGATGCGAATAAAAGATTAATAAGATTTTCTCAAGTATTAAAACTGACGCAATATTTGGTTGAAACGAAGAACAGTAATATGACTCTCAGTCGTCTTCACTCCTAGCCTGTCACGCGGTCTTCAGTTACCAGTCACTTCCAGCAGCATCGGCGATTACTCAGCTCAAACAAGCTCACGTTTACTACAAGCATGTTCTCTGGCAAATACACTCAATCACGTTGGAGTTTAGTGCCGACCACTAGCTATAATGGTCGCGAAATTTTGCCAGCACTCACCATATACAAGATGCTTGCATCACAATAATTAATATTATCAGTCACTACTGACACCGCCCATAGGCCATCAATATTCACAACTCTAGTCTACCAGTCCAATATTTAAATGGCTGCCCAGTACGGCCATATATGTATAGTGCACAATATTTAAGTTGAAGAGAACGAATGTAAAGCCTGCAGGTAATACAGAATTGTGTGCAATATAAGGTTCAGTCTCAAAATGAATTAAAGTGAATGACAATTAAAGCAAAACCATTTAAATTCTTTTCTGAAGTTGACTCGCCAAAATTAAAACTACTACGCCTTGTTTTTCGGTAACCGAGTGTAACTTAACGATTTTTAAAATCAATTCATTTTGGGCTCCTGCTTTTTCAGCATGATTGCTATAATCTATGTAGTTTCTCGACTTCCTTGAAAACCATGACACTATTGAATTCATGGTTGACACGACGCCAACCGGAGAATGTAGGGTAATGTGGCCCATGGGGTGCGTAACATAAGCCCGCACTTTCCTTCGACCTTTTCAAGTTGTCGAAAATCATGCAGTGTATAGAAGTCCCTTCCGGTAATTCTCACAGACGTTTAATTATATGATGTAAGCTAAAATTTTGTTATACAGTATTGACCTTTCGAAAGGCCAGTAATAGTTTGTTTGTCATTCTACCATGTGAGTAACGCAGTTTTTGTCATGAAGTGGCTCCTCTCTGCTTAAGACATAGGATTTGAATGCTTATTATTCGGCCTCCGTAGCTCGTTTTGCAGGTAACTATTGATTAGAGTGGTTCACGTCATTATATAATAGGTCTCTCCAGAAATCTTGGTTTCACTGGACTGCAACCTTGCAACTTGCACCCGGATGCTCATGCACCGGCCACCAGTTGCGTCAAGGCATTCAATCTGAGTGGTTGGTGCGTGTCAGTTCTGGCAGAAGCTTACCCAATGAAGATCATACATAGAATTTACAGCGATGCACTTCTTTTCAAATGTGAAAAGCAGCATAGCGAAAGCTCATTTCCTAATACTGCATTAATTTTGGCTTGAAATGAATTTTCAATATACTTGAAGTTCATAATAAGTCATTTACATGCTTTAGTACTT